CTCATGCAAGAGCATTTTCTGGGGCCCCAAGTGACCAGATTTTCAGGGATTCCAAAATCTGGGGTTTTAGTATCTGAGAAGGTCACCCGAGTCTGCCCGTATGCGTTCGACGATGGTGTTCTGGACCAGCCGGGCCTCGCTCATGAGTCCTTCCAAGGTCTGCTCTCCAGCCTTCTATAAAGACATCAACTATCCCCAGCAACTTCAGACCATCTCATCAATCACATTAGAAGACACGCCTCGGGTCCCCCTTTTGTGCAGACAACGGCCTCCATCGGCAGCAGAATGGCAGACAACCTCCCCTCCTCTCGTCCGTTGCGCTCCGTGGCGGAGATCCTCGCCAGCGATAAGACATCTGTTCTGTCACTCGCACCATCCCTCGTTCAACTTTATGCCCTTCTGGCCCCGGCCTGTCTTGTTGTCTGCGCAACCAATGGCTATGATGGTTCAGTCCTCACAGGCTTGCAGGGCGTGACAGCATGGAACAACCAGTTTGGAAGCCCCAAGGGCTCACTGCTCGGTATAACCAGCGCCTCTTACCCTCTGGGTGCAATTGTCTCCACGCCCTTTTCTGCATGGTTGTCCGACAAGTATGGCCGACGCTCCTCGATCCTCATCGGCAGCTTCATCATGATCATCGGCGTCATCGTTCAGTGTGTCAGCACCACCATCGCTCAATTCATCGGTGGTCGCGTCATTGTCGGCTTCGGCATCACTCTTGCCCTGGCCGCAGCCCCAGTCCTCATCTCCGAGCTCGCTCATCCTCGCCACCGTGTCTTCTTCGGGTCCCTTTACAACACCAGCTTCTATCTCGGCGCCTTACTCGCAGGCTGGGTGGCTTTCGGGAGCTATCGCATCCCGAGCGCCTGGGCCTGGAGGCTGCCGACTCTGCTGCAGGCGCTCCCGGCTTGCATCCAGATGGTCTTCGTGTGGTTCCTGGATGAGTCGCCTCGTTGGCTGTTTTACAAGGACAGAACCGACGAAGCTCTAAACATCCTGATCAAGCATCATGGGAATGGGCAGCTTGATGACTTGGTCCAAGCTGAGTACTGGGAGATGAAGGAGACGCTCCAGGCGGAGCAGGAAGGAGAGAAGCAGAGTATCTCTCTATTTATCAAGACCCCAGCCAACCGCCGACGGCTCGCCATTCTTGTCACCCTGGCTGTCTTCGGTCAATGGAGTGGAAATGGCCTGGTAAGTAAAGCCACCCAACAACCCTTGAGCTCCATCGACTAACACAAGGCCAGGTGTCGTATTACCTCACCAAGATCCTAGCAAGCATCGGAATCGCAACCCAACGAGAACAAACAATGCTCAACGGGATAATCAGCACGGTCAACTACGCGACGGCCCTTTTCGCAGCCGTTCTCTCGACCAAGATCGGCCGCCGTACCATGTTCATCGGGGGCGGCATCGCCATGTTCTTCACATTCTCGGCTTTGACAATCAGCATCGCCGTCTACAATGAGACTGGTTCAGTGGCCGCGAGCAAGTCCGGACTGGCATTCATTTTCATCTACTACACCTCCTTCAACATCTGTCTAAACCCGCTGCTCTTCCTCTATCCTACCGAGATCCTCCCATACAGGTTACGTGCCATGGGCCTCAGCATCCTCGTGTTTTCGACAAAGGCCGCGTCCTTCTTCAATCAGTTCGTCAATCCAATCGGCATGGATTCTCTAGGCTGGAAATACTACCTGGTGTACGTTGGCTGGCTTCTCGTGGAAATTTGCGTCTTCTGGCTGCTCTACGTTGAGACCAAGGGGTACACTCTTGAGAGAATCCAGGAGGCGTTCGGGGAAGATATCAAGTTGGACGGCCCGGAGGAGAAAAATGGACCGACGGTGGTGGATACTGTGTTTGAGAACAAAGTTGACGATGAATCCAGCTCGCATGTGGAGAGGGCGAAGCATGCCTAGGCTCAAACCATAATTGCCGAGACTTCTGTAACCTAACTTGAGATAATTAACTTTTTGATAACTCCCAGCCGGTATTTCAGTGATATTTGAGTTTCTAGTAACCCCTTCACTCCGTGAACCCTTTCTCGCCTGACTGAAGATCTGTGTTTAGATTTGGCAAGACGGTGTTGCTTCACGCACCCAGTTGCCAATTCGTGAGTTGAAGTGATAAATAACAAGCATTTGAACATTAAGTTTTTATTATATTATAAGCTCTGATAATGGACGTCAATCGGCCAGGAGCATGGTGTTTTTTCCCACGTCTGCACAGCTTTTAATGTGCATTCAGGTCTGGGCGATCTGAAAGTGCAACGAAACCACAGGAAGAACCAACAGCAATCCTACGCCCGTCTACACATAGAATTCATTTTCATAAGGTGCATGGTGACTCCTGAAAACTTTTGACGCTCCCAAACGCATCACTCCACAGCCCGTTTTTTCACAACCACCATTAGAATCCGTGCCGATCAAAGAGGAGCATTAGTAAAAAGATATGACACGGATTCACCGTTGTGAGTCCTGCGAATTGCCTACGAACAGGTGAGCTGATAATTGCATCCTCAAATCATTGTGTCGGACCTACCTCAGCAAGAGTCCCTGATACGTCAATCACCTTGAGCTTGGGACACCGTTCGACCTTGTCGCCGACTGGATTTGCTTCATCAGTCCATCGAGTTTGTAAGAATGGGGATGGGGGAATGAGAGCCACTGGACGCAACCTGGCCTCTAAGTTCATGTAAGACTTACGGGGTACAGCTATTGTATTCATTAGCGACGGATCCATGGCATACTGTTCTGAGAGGCTTACTGTTGGTGACAACCAGGCCAGCGAGGCAGGACTGGTTGATGTTATCAATAGCGTTGCCACTAAGGATGCCGTGGGTTACGATGGCGTAGACCTGGCTGGCGCCATGCTCATTCAAGGTAGCTGCGGCCTTTGCGAGCTGCAAGGGAAGAGGTCAGTGGTGTTCAAGAAGTAGGATAAAGGACAATCGGAGCCATACCGTTCCGCATGTATCTGCGATATCATCTACTATGATAGCCACTTTATCCTGGACGTCACCGACCAGAATCATGCGACCGACGACGTTGGGTCGTGGGCGTTCCTTGTGAATAAGAGCAAAGTTGATCTTCAGGCGATCAGCAATGGCCGCGGCACGCTTTGCGCCGCCAGCATCGGGGGAGACAATGACGCAGTCGTCGAGGTTGATGTTCTCCTGGATCCAGCGAAGCACCGACGGCTCGGCGTAAAGATTGTCCACAGGCACATTGAAGAAGCCTTGAATTTGAGAGGCATGCAAGTCCATGGTAATGACATGGTTCTAACAAAGACATCAGAACAAGACCCAAGCGTGGGTTAAGGGGGGACCAAAGTTCTTACACAACCAGATACTTGCAGCATGTTGGCCATAAGCTTCGCGCTGATAGGGGCGCGGGACTTGTCCTTCTTGTCTTGCCTGCTGTAGGGGAAGCTGGGCAGGACCACGGTGATTCGTCGCGCCGACGCGCTGCGGCAGGCGTTGATGAGGATCATGAGCTCCATTAGCCCGTCGTTGACCTCTCCAGGCGCGGTGGACTGGAGGATGAAGACATCTTCGTCTCGGACTGACTCGCCGATGGAGATGCTCATTTCCTGGTTGGAATACTTGACATGAGTTGTGCTGGCGACCCGCGTCCCGAGCCTGTAACCTGTTAGCCCAATGCCCCATCGCACCCGTAGCAAATGTCGGTCCACGGCTGAGATGTTCCCGGGCGCTGTTTCGCTTTCGTTCCAGGGGTGGATGATGGATGGGGCTGCACGTACCGACTAGCCATCAAAGTGCCAAGCTCTGGGTGGCCGCTGCCAGCAATCAATTTGATTTCGTTGGCCATCTTCTCTCTGCTCGCGGTCGTGGGGAAGCTGAAAGCGACGGGAAGAAATGCAACGGGAGCTCCTTGATCAAGATGCCTGTGAGAAACCGGCAGCGAGGTTCTGCACGAAGAATTTGCTCAGCCGCCTGCCATGCGCATATCGCTCCATTTTCCAATCGCCCTGCTCCGGTGACGAGAGCCGTCAGAAACCGATCAGTGGTCACGTGCAAGCCCAAGTTTGCCACTGACCGCCTTGCTTTCTGCCTATCTCCAACTTGACAACTCTAATTTTTTCCTTTTCGAGAACTACGCTGTGGCTTGAATAATTGCCCTGGGGGGCAGACTCTGTCTTCAATTATTGTGCCAAGAAGGATATAAGCCTTTTTCCATATCCCCGGTGCTGTCGCCATCGATCGCCCACCGACCTAATTAATCAGCCTGCTTCACAATGCATGAGGCTACCCTAGAGCTTCTGCCTCATCACGATCAAACCTCAACCTACTTATCTAGAAGTTATGAAGAATCAAATAGGCATAATTCTACAATTACATGGCCATCTTGAACTTAGTTTGCTCTTAATTTCCAAACTAGCCACCCCTAGGAAAAAGTGATATCTCACTGTTGGAGTTTGCATGGACCCACTCAACTAGTGGAAACTTGAAGGTGCTCAATGGGCTCTAGTATTTCGCTCAATAAATCCGCTTTCTAGTCTTTCCCCAGCGTAAGAAACATAATACAGTTAGCTAGAGGTGTATAGCAACCCTAACTACCTATTTAGCACTTGAACTTGTGGTCTATCGACCAACGACCAACTGCAGGCTCGTGATCTCTTTTAACTGACCAACTTACATGAATCTAAGGTAGTCCGAGGTTGAGCCGAGGTTCTAGCTAATGTCAGCATTCAAAAGATTCCCCAAACAAAGTTCTCTACTGGTCTTTTCCCCTACGTTCCCACAATTTCAGCAGCCATCGATCCTTGTAGTCACCCACGCATCAGTTTTACAGGCTGTGATATATTTGGTGCATTCTCTACATCTTGTCGCTCGTTCTACTTCTCTCACACCGTCAAGTCACACCTCCCTCACCTTTTTTGTAGCTATGCATGCTAATGCCGTTGCAGATATTTCTGTCAAAATCAGCGGCAAAACCAACTGCTTTTGCACCTTGGATAACACCGCCTCTTTGCCCCCAATGGCCTCCCCGCCGCCGGAATCACCGATTCGCATTCTTATCACCGTGAAACAGAGACACCCTCAAATATGGAAAGAGGCATGGGAACAACCAGAAAAGATGATATCCAGAGTCCTGAAATACCTCAAGTATGACAATTTGGTATCGCTAAATGAGAAGTATGACACCTCGGACTGTCGTTTCATCGCGGTTGATCGCTGGGACCCTGTCGTCTTTATTGTCTTTGACTTATTCAACACACAATATAACCATCTTGATGCGCATCTGGAAGGTAAGAATGAATTGCCCGTCAGGGTGGTTCGCATCTCTCAAGGCGACAACAGTTACCTTATAAAGGCATCGGAGGCACAGCATATCAAATACTTGAGTGATGAGGTTCGGAATCTTCATGAATCGCATGGGTGGGAAGAGGGGGTGCCTTTCAGGATCGACCATCATAATGGAGCATACCCTACCTATTATCATCCGCGAGCACTACGTAAATGATTACAGCCATAACATTGAGCTCTGGAACACGGAGAGCGGCACAACTAAACGCCGAGACAGCCACTCCAGGTCTTCAGCCTCACTAAAAGATTGAAGCTAAAAGCAAGGGGCACCGTGAAAAGCGCATCCATCAAAATCATTCCCTCTCTCCAATGACGACCTACGTAGCTCTGTTACGCGGTATTAACGTGGGTGGCCGCCGCAAGGTGCTCATGGCAGATCTGCGGGAGCTCCTCTCATCCCTTGAATTGGACCATGTCCGGACCTATCTCCAGAGTGGAAATGCTGTATTCACGGCATCGGAACCACTAGGAGAGATTCACACATGTGTTGATAAAGCCATATCTGAACGATTCTTCAACGATATACCCATATTTCTCCGCTCTGGGGAGGATGTCGACGCTCTTATCAAGGAAAACCCCTTCGTCTCTGAATGCGACAGCCTACCTAAATCAGTCCATGTGATTTTTCTCTCATCGTCACCGGAGGCCGAGAAGGTCAAAGAACTGGATTCTTACGCAACGAGAGAGGAGAAAATCGTTGCCTACGGTGAACACCTCTTTGTGCATTTCCCGAATGGATATGGGAAGTCGAAGCTCACGCCGACGGTGGTTGAGCGCATTCTGGGGGTCTCAACCACTGCTCGCAATTGGCAGACCATCATGGCCTTGCAATCAATGATGGAAGACGACGCCTGATGCATATTTGGACGTTTCATGGTCCACCGCATTTCACCGTCCCCATTCCTTGATTCAAGGCTTGAACCCTGACACTGAAGGCCATTTAAACTTGTTCAAGGTTCCAACTCGTATTGATGAACGTTCAAAAGCGCAGCCGCAGTGGCAGATGAGCTGACGATCAATTGCTGTATCTTTGTTGAGCGGTGGACGGTTAAGCGGCACTGGTTTAAGCGAAATTACTGATTGATGGAGAGACACTCCATCAAGAATCAGCCAATTGTAGGGGTCATTACAACTTAGTGTCCGATGCCTGTTTCAGAGATCCTCCGTATACGTATTTTGATTATGTCTTCAACCCCATCCTGCAGGTCTTCGAGTTTGGAGTTGTCTGTAAATAAGACAGAGGTTGGAAGCATGTAGATTTGAAAATGACATTGATCGACAATGGAAGAAAATCCGATTTAATTGTTCCGTGATCCGGCTGCCTATGAATCCCTCAGTGCTGTCGTGGCCTGGGTTTCAACTAGGGTCCATTTCTCCAGGCCTTAGCAGTTTCACATTTCGGTAGCTCTGCTCCGAGCCTTTGTGAGGTTCAATGAAACGAATCCCTGATGAAATGCCTGCTTATCGTCTCTATGATCTGCTCACATATTATTTAATAGCCAGAGCCGCAGCTTGGCTGCCGTATGCATTGGAATTGGTTGCTGCGATTTATCAACCTCCGGCGACATTCTTTAACTTCAATTCTCAACAACCATGGCTCCCTCATTCGCCGCCCTTCTAGCTGGACTAGCATGTGTCGGCTCAGCTGCAGCGCAGCTGTCAGGAACAGTCGGTCCCACCACATCGCGAGCCTCAAAGGCGGCAAACAAGCGATGCAACATCATGGATTATGGGGGTGTGGCATCAGCTACGACCGACAACGCGGAAGCAATCAACGCCGCATGGAAGGCCTGCGCTTCAGTAGGAGGCGAAGTCTATATTCCGGAGGGAGATTATGGCTTGGGCACCTGGTTGACGCTGTCGGGGAGCAGCATGTCATTCTGCCTGGATGGCACCATCCATCGTACTGGAACCGCTGGCGGTAACATGTTTATGTTCAAGCATATCACCGATTTTGAACTTTATAGCAGCACATCCAAGGGAGCTATCCAAGGATATGGCTACGAATATCACAAAGGTCAGTGTTCTTGTAACTGTTTGTTAGTGATCTGAAATATGCTAACATTATTTCAGACAACACTTACGGCGCGCGAATCTTGAGATTTGCTGATGTTAATGATTTCTCTGTTCATGATATCTCGCTCGTGGACTCGCCCGCCTTCCATTTCAGTCTTGACACTTGCACGAACGGAGAGGTGTATAACATGGTTATCCATGGCGGAGCTCGAGGAGGGTTGGATGGCATCGATGTTTGGGGTACAAACATCTGGATTCATGATGTCGAAGTCAGCAACAAGGACGAATGTGTTACCGTAAAGAACCCTTCCGACCATCTTTTGATTGAAAATATCTTCTGCAACTTGTCTGGGGGCTGCGCTATGGGTTCCCTCGCTACTGGTACAGGTAAGAATCTTCTTAATCCTCTTACCCGATCTCAGGCTGACCTCAGACAGACATTCATGACATTGAGTACACCAATGTGTACACCCACAGCTCCAACCAGATGTTCATGTTCAAGTCCAACGGAGGAAGCGGTACGGTTTCCAATGTGGCTTTGAACAACTTCATTGGCCATTCTAACGCCTACACCCTGGATCTCGATGCTGCTTGGTCCAGCATGTCTACCGTCGATGGAGACGGTATTCTTTACTCCAACTTTACTTTCTCCGGATGGAGTGGCACTTGCGCGAACGGAGTCCAGCGAGGACCCATCAAGTTCAATTGCCCTGCTGACGTCCCTTGCGCCGATATGGTGGTCAAAGATTTCAGCGTATGGACTGATTCAGGATCGACCGTTGAGTATGTCTGCCATAACGCTTACGGAGAGGGAGCATGCCTCGCCTCCGGAGAAGCTTCAGCAACGCACACCAGCACGCAAACCATCACCACCTCGGGTGATTACTCAGTTCAGACTATGCCAGGCGAGCTCACAGCTGGCCTCGGTCTCACCCAGTCCATCGCTATTCCCACTATACCTTCATCATTCTTCCCCGGAAAAGCCCCCTACAGCCCCCTGATGGGCAGCTCAGGCGGAAGCTCAACTGCCGCTCAGGAACAGGAGCAGTCAACTTCATCTACGGCTTCCCCTGCAGCTTCTACCGGGGCAGCCACCACCTCAGCAGCGGCAACCGTTGTTGCATCTGAGGACCCCACCTTCGTTACTCTCTCTTCCGATGCCTCGGCCGCTCCTTCATCAACGCCCTCCCAGTCCAAGTCCTCCGCATCGACTCGCCCTGTGGCACCAATCTCGTCTTCATCTGCTTCTAGAGTGAGCTCCGCGCCATCTGCCGTGCCGACAAATGCATCCACTTCATCTCCAGAGCCAGCCAGCACCGGCTGCGGTCGGCACGGCTCTCGCTATCGATACAACCGCCGCTCCCATGCTTAGATTAGAATATTTTAGATGGAGCATATGAGTAAGAAATTGAATAAAAAAGGTTTCACTTCGTGGGGAATATGAGCCAAGCTGGTCTTGTTGTGGGGTTTTCGCAAGGATGGCATGTCACGCATAGTCGTATTACGTTTGTGGTGATTTGGAATGATATGTTTATTGCTGCAACTACCCCCTTGTTCCCATGTTTATAAATTCAAGTTACATTCGAATTAGTATCCTGAAGTCACGAGTTGATGATTCGATTGGGAGTACGGGTTTCACAAGTAAGGAACTAAAGTTCCTCGTGCATGTTGCTATCTAACAGAAAGGCTCCATGTCTTTCCGAGGTAGCATTCCATTCCAAATTTTTACCATGCAGGTACATGTGAGTCAACAAACTATAAGAATTGCCCGCTATGTGTCAGGGACGTACTAGGCATCGGGCCTAATTGGCCTATAAGGTTGTATGTCTGAATAATTCTTAATATTCACACACCAGTCAATGCATGATGCTTTGACTAAGATTATTGTTCCCTTCTTTTCACATGTCTTCATAACTAGAGTTTCACAATTCTTGAGATTTGGCTTTCGAAAATCATTTTAATTACCATAAAGTATCAAATATATTCCTGGGACCATGATTTGGTAGACCTCTATCTGAATCAAGGCTATGCTCTGGCCGAGATATGAGATACTTATGGATATCAGCCGCGGCATGTTTAAGTCGCTACCCATATTTTCATCGACTAATATTGGTGGTAGGTGGCTGGCTCAACCCTTCTTAATCATGAATAGGCGGTTGTCACGGATCGGCCCGTTTCAGTTTTCGATCAAAGAGCGTACGAAACAAAGGTCCCTCGTTCCCTATCATTAGATACAAGAGCTGCTCACGCCCCGCTCTTCACGGATAAACTGAGCCGTAATTAAAGGGCTGGGCAATTCTGGGCGCTGAGGTGTTGAAACTATATCGATATTCGTGCTTAGAAATGGTGTCAAGCTGTCTGTGAACCAGGAACCCCGCTAGGAATCTAGGAGCTGAATTCGGTTATTGCCAAGCTTCGTCAGCCACCATGTTTTGAGTCCATTCAGTTCGGACCTGCATTTGATTGGCCCAATGAGACATCAGCCGTCTCAACTGTAGCACTTTCCCTCGGCCTTTTCATGTGATGATGAGTCCACGTAGATTTTGCTGCCGAAGTCGAGCGTACCTGCGGGCAGAGCACAGACTACTGGCTGGGCGAGAAAACGCCACTAACGGTCACCTTCCATTGTAGGGCAAGCCCACTGCCGCGAAATGAGAATTTCCAATCAGTTGCAGGATTAGCGTGCCATACATTGCCTCGATCAGGCTCTGTTCCTTTGGCCCGCGAGGGTTAGCTAGCTGAAAGATGATGATTGGACAAGTGAGGTTGAAATCCATATAGGTTTCGAAGAAAACAGCTTCTGGGTGAGCTGATATTTCTGGGCCGAAATTCGCGCGATGGGAGCCGAGATCGTGGATGTACACGTGCTACATGTGTGGCAGGGCGGAAGGTCCTGGGATTCCCCACGTTAAGTCTCACTCACCATCCTAATTTGGATAGCCAAGTAGGCGGCTGGGGCCACATGACTTAGTTGCGAGAGCCGGATGGGGAGAGGCGGGCGTATCGTCGCTTGTGAGACTGAGCAATTGAGTCTCTACCCCATGGGGTAGCTCGGCACATAGTGTGAGAGGGTGTGAAGGGGTGGTCACGATGCTTGATGCTTCACTGGACAAAGGTGCGGTGACCGGTGGTGATATAAGGATATGTGTATGGTCTCTGGTGTATAAATACCAAGCAATTTCAGGATCTGAGCAGCAGAAACATTACTACATCTTTGCAAGCACACTAGGTTTCTGACTTTTGATTTCCAACGCTGCATCATGAAGTTCCTCTACGTCGCCCAGACCTTAATCGCCTTCGCCCTGGCTACGCCAGTGCCCGAGACGGCTGTAGCAGTTGATCTGCAGAATCGAGAAGATTCTATCGGCATATCCTCTGTCCTTGTGCGTGATGAACTGCGCAATGGCGGCGGCGCGTGTCCCAAGGCCATTCTCATCTTTGCTAGAGGTACAATGGAGCTGGATAACATGGTAAGGTCCAGTGGAATACGATTGTCTTTTGGCAGAATTGAACTCATCAATTGTTTTGCTTGCAGGGCTTATTAGTCGGGCCAGCTCTTGCAGGTGGCTTAGAGGGTATGCTGGGTTCAAATAACCTCTGGGTCCAAGGTGTGGGTGGCCAATATGCTGCCAATCTCGAGGGCAATCTATTTCCAGATGGAACACCTCCCAAAGCTATCCAGGAGATGCTTAGTCTGCTCCAATTAGCGGACACGAAGTGCCCAAACTCTAAGATTGTCACAGGGGGGTATAGGTACGCATTGTCTTCGCTGAGTTGAGTAACAAGAAAAGGCTGCAAACTAACCTGCTTACAGCCAAGGCGCTGCACTCGTTGCCGCTGCTATTCGCGATGTCAAGGCTTCCATTCGACAAAAGATTGTGGGAACTGTACTCTTTGGGTACACCAAAAACAAACAGAAGAACGGACAGGTAGAAAACTACTCAACTGATCGACTCCGGGTTTATTGTAACGCCGGAGACTTGATTTGTCAAGGGACCTTGATTGTTCTACCAGCGCATCTTCTGTACGGAGATCAGGCTGCTGGTCCAGCAGCCCAGTTCCTTGCCAGTAAGATCAATTCATAATTGCTTGATCAACGCATCGCAGATTGCTGCCATGCACCCATATATGGATAGGAGAGATCAAATATGGACCTTACATAGTCGCTCTACAGCATCTGCCGAGAATATTGGATATTCTTTCGTTCCTACATAAGGCTAATTTATTCTCGAGATGGATGATTAAGATCTGTATAATACAGAGATGTGAGAATTTATACAGGCGATCTAGGTAGATACCAAAACTACATTTCAACGTGGTGCCTCAGTTTTTGGTCTTCGAAATATGTGAAGAAATATTCATTTATGCCATATATCAAGTTGGATAGAAAAGAAAATGGGCCATGAAGTATACCCAATGATAACTATCCATTGAGCATGAAACTATCGCGATAGTGAAATCTCTGTTAGGCAATTTCGTGAGTCACACATAGCAAAAGTTCGACACCACGTTTTAAATCCAACCACATGAAATGGAGAAAAGGAACGAGCTCTTCGGTTCGTTTCCTAGCTTCTTTTTCTAGCGTATAGTGTAGTATCTCTTACACAAAAGACAGGGGGTCATGGTGACACGAAAGATGTTCCCCATCTTCAAGGCCCTTTTATGTACAAACTGGTTTCAGACTAAATAAATCTTGCTGTCCAACCTAGATTCTCCTTGGATAAGTAAGATCACTTCTTGTTTGCTGCATTGAGGGTGGTTGCCATGGTCTGGATATCCGCAGGAGCAGCGTCGGGGGTGATCCAGTGGTTGGTAGTGAAGACAGCGGCACCAATTCCCCTGGCAACAATGGCTTCTGATGCACTCAGCAGACTTTCGCTGTTGGCCGTGGCGAATCCGTTGGTTCCGTGGAAGCCGTGAACGAGAATGGCAGTCTTGGCGTAGTTCTCGGTACCGACCCAGTCCTTCAGAACGTTGTCAATGCTTGTGCCGTAACCATCCTGGTCATAAGGAGTATAAGATCCATCGCAAAGGTCCTCGCCGTTCGAGGTAGGGGACCAGCAGGTCTCGAAGGCCGAGATGTAGGTTGGGTTGAGAGCAAAGTAAGAGTCGAGGATATTTGGCGTAGCTGGGAAGCCGGCGTTGTAGACCACCGAGTCACCAAGGCCGTCCAGCGAGCGGATGTACTGCGTCAACTCGGACATGTATTGCACGCAAGAACCATCATTGGGTGACTCATCAATAAAGATACCACCCACGTTGACTCCCTGCGAGCTCTTCCAAGAGGCCCATTTGGCAATGTCTGCTTTGACATCGGCGATGGCACGCTGGCAGCGGGTGCAGTGCACGTACCCAACCAAAGACACGTTGGGCAGGTCTGCAAGCAGTTTGCCTCCAGCAGCCCAGGCGGGTCCATCAGTAGTGCCAAATGGGTCACCAGGGCCGTTGCTCACATTGATAATGACGGTTGCGGAGAGCGCGGAGTTGCTTGACAACGCAGATGCCACAGAAGACCAACTGGCACCGTTGGTTCCTGGGTAGGTGTAAAGAGGAAGCAGAAGATCTGTAGCCGCAGCCGAGGCCGCACACAAAGAGAGCAAAGAGAAGCGCATCTTGATGGAGATTTGAGTTTGGAGAGATAGGATGAAGGTACTAGAATATCTTGAATGCGAGAGTGTGCCTAAACTACTTATATTCAACCTGGAAATGTTTAGGGGTATAGCACTAGAAACAACAGTTTCTATTTCCCGGAATTAATGCCGAATACAAGGAACCACAAACTAACAATCCACCTTCTTCGTAGAATCTCCTCCTGAATGGCACGATTTGGGTGTACTATGCTTACGACGAGGGTCGTTGAACTTGCTATTCTTAGGCAGCTAGCAGGGTGTAGAAACAAACCCCGTTCTCTGTCAGCGGCATTTCAATCCAGAGCCACATGGCAAGGATGGGGCGACAACTGCCCTTCAGTTCCTTCGGTCCCCTGCCGAAACACCGTCTGACATCAGGAACAAGGGAAAATGCCGACCGATCATTCACTTTTCTACTTAGTCCAGAAGAAATTTCTCTTCTAGGAGCGTTTGAATATGACAACCCCTGTTTGGCCGCCTTCTTGGCAAGACTGAGGCTATTGTGCGTACGTGAGACGAAAAAGCCCTGGGCCAATCTCAACAGTATGCTTGGAAGCGTCCTGCTTTCTACCTATCGGATTAATTATTCCTTGTCTAAACTTATGGCCATATCATAGTCTTTTTGCAGCTTGCTTCAGTTTCAACGACTATACTCATTACGTAGTGCTAGTAACTCCGATTCTTCGGGTTAATGTAGATTCACCGACAGCGGCCAACCCATGTCCAGGATTCATTACTTAGTAGAAGATGTGGGTAGTCCGGGGCAGGTCAACGGTAATTGTCAAGGTTTCAATTGCCCAAGCAGGAAGGTCGTCTCGGGGCCGAACCAAGTAATAAGCCGAGGTCATCCTTGGCTAACCTCTTAGCGGCTAAGTTTTAGTCAAAATCCGGATGATTTCAAGCTTTCTAGACGGAGTTTGTTCGACCCATTGCCGTGTTTTAGCAAGGTGTATGCACGTGAACTCGAAAAATTTACTATAGGACACAATAGAAGGACTCCCTCCTCTCTGGTAGGCCCATGCTTAACATAAAGCATATCATCCACCATTAGCTTCATGGCTTCTGGCGGTCTGTTTCTTGTCTAAATGTAAAATCTTGGTCTGGCTTCGGAACTCCTTGGTGAGTGTTTCCACTTGCTACCTAGGTGGGCAGACTAAGTTTGCATACCAAGCATGGAGTAAGCAAGCGATAACCTGTCGTCGGCATCGCTCAATCTCCCTCTCCTCTGTTACCCTATCCAACACAAGACCGCTAATTATGGGTTCAGTTGATGGTCAGAGAGAAAGCCTTGCCACTTATCTTGCGGTAATCCAACTCATGCATAAAGCTGGTGTAGTCTTTATTAGCGAGTATTGACCAATGTTGACGACACCATGTACTCTAGCACTATTACTTACGAGCGTTCCACACACCAGACAACTCTCTCCTTTATTTCAGTTTTAATCTTTTATTACAGCTAATTCTGTTTATTAATCGAGAGAGTTTTAGATTGTTGCGATTCAGGAATCAGATGCAAAATAACCGAATGAGCCCTGTGCAGAAGGGAGCCAAGTTTGGGCGTACGACATATTACTTCCAGAACTAGACGACTTGAGAGTAACGAAATCTAGTGACATTACCATACTCCGCCATGTTTGATAGGGTTGGCTTATTCAGTGAAATTTATCGACTGTTGGTTGCGTCGCCCAGTGAGGCTGACACGGCTGAATCATGAAGCCTGCCAATCAGAAGCATTTCTCCAGGTCAGCTCCTGCAGCGTAATCTCACATCCTCGTGATCAATGAGCTGTCTTTCCCGGCTGCGACTCGGCTAATCACTCATCATCGCCCTCGCCAGTCCAGACTCCACGTCCCTCTTCTTGGCGACAGCTGGCCATCGAAATGGACCATGGAACCTCATACGAAGACTTCGAGGTTTCCTCTGCGCCCAGAGACGCAACTGGCCAGTTGCGGGGTAGCAGAGCTCCCAAGACCCACGACGACTACGACGTCGCGTGGATCTGCGCACTCTACTTGGAGATGGCAGCTGCTCGGGCCATGCTAGACGTGACGCATGATGACTTGCCTATGCACCTGAGCGACAGTAACTGCTATATCCTGGGGAGTATTGAAAGGCATAACGTGGTCATTGCCTGCCTCCCTGACGGGCAGTACGGTACCAATAATGCAGCCAACGTCGCCGCCAACTTGTTGAGGACCTTTCCGTCCGTTCGCGTTGGTCTGATGGTTGGTATCGGGGGTGGCGTACCTACAAAAGCTGATATTCGTCTCGGTGATGTCGTTGTCGGATCGAGAGTGATGCAGTATGATATGGGCAAGATCACGGACGAGGGGTTCCAAAGAACTGCTGTTCCAAGACTAACTCCGCGCTCGATTAATACTATCGTCTCCAAATTGCGAGCGGTCCATGAGAACTTTCCTAGTAGAATTCCAGAGATCATGCGAGAGAAACTGAGGGGCCCAAACTACCGCCATCCGAGAGTGCCTGATCGTCTCTTTCAGTCAACGTACACGCATAGACAACCGGCTCCCGACAATCAACAAATGAATGACTCTCGAACTCTCACGTGCGACGAGTGTGACCAGTCTAGACTGCAGCCACGATACACGCGGCCGACAGAAGAGCCTCATATTCATTACGGCGCAATTGCATCCGGAAACCAAGTCGTAAAAGACGCCTCCATCAGAGATCAAATTGCTCGAGATCTAGATGCTATATGTTTTGAGATGGAGGCTGCTGGTCTTATGGACACCTTACCATGTCTCATAATTCGGGGTATATGTGATTACTCCGATTCTCACAAAAGCAAGGAATGGCAAAGGTATGCAGCAGCTACTGCAGCAGCGTATGCTCGGGAATTCCTTGAAACATCGCCCGTGAACCAACAGATTGTGAATGTTACAGTCGGTAAGTACCGAGTTCTTGAAGCCTGTTCGACCTGAGAACTGACTGTGCCGAAGACCAAACTCGGTCTCATGACCATCGACAGCGGTTACTCAAATCCCTTCGCTTTAATCGGATGGGTTCTCGGATGGAGACTGTAGGAAATGCTGATGGCCCAACTTGCCGCTGGTTTCTCAACCACCCTGGCTATCTCGCCTGGCTAGACCCGAAGCAGCTTCCAGATCATCATGGGTTCTTATGGGTCAGCGGAAAGCCTGGCGCCGGCAAATCGACCATTATGAAATTTACCTTCTCGCACATGGCAAAGGAAAATCGTCGTAATATGACACTTGATTGTCGTCCGAATAGCTGTTTTGCATCCTTCTTCTTCAACGCCCGCGGCGAACCTCTGGAGAGGACCATCACGGGAATGTTTCGATCATTGCTTATACAGCTTCTTGAGTGGTACGTGGACCTCCAGGCTATACTAGACGACTACAAGCTTGATACAGAGAACCATGATAATTGGTTTACCATCGATACTCTCAAAATCATGTTCCAGAAGGCAGTGTTGGGTCTCGGGGAAAGAGAACTTACATGCTTCATCGATGCTCTTGATGAATGCGATGAGCAGCAGGCCATCGACATGATTGAATATTTCGAAGACCTTACAGAAGAGTCCACGGAGAAGAATATAATGTTCCGTGTCTGCTTTTCAAGTCGCCATTATCCCTATATTGACATACAGGGGAGTATTCGGTTGAAATTGGAGGATCAGCCAGGCCACAATGATGACCTACAGACATATGTCAAGCGTCGCCTAAAGGTCAGAGACGCCTTGATGCTAGAAGAGCTCTACCCGTTGATTCTTGAGAAAGCTGCGGGTGTCTTCTTGTGGGTTGCTCTGGTTATCCGCATCCTTAACAAAGAAGATCGCTATGGAAGACCGGCTCTGAAGAAGAGGATCACGGACCTACCTAGCGATCTGACCGAACTGTTCAAAGATATGATTACACGAGATTGTGAGAACATGGAAGAGCTTCAGCTATCTGTGCTTTGGATTCTCTATGCAAAGCGACCGCTGAGGCCGGGCGAGTATTATCAAGCTCTGTGGGCAGGCTTATATTCAAAAGGGCTGATGGATTCTGAATTTCCTACAACGTCAACTATGTCAGTGGACATCATCGCAAGGATTGAAAGATATGTCATCAGCTCGTCGAAAGGCCTAGCTGAGATTACAAAATCATATAACCCCGTTGTACAGTTCATACACGAGTCAGTCCGCGATTTCCTCATCAAAGACGGAGGTCTTCGTCACTTGTGGCCCGGTCTGGATGTCGAGTTTGAGAGTTCAGGCCACGAGATGCTCAAAATATGCTGTGACACCTACATCACTCATCTCTTAGTGCGGGAGACTGTATCAAGGCTTACGTGGCATACCTTCAGGCTGGAGCAATTCCAGTTCCTAGAGTACGCCAGCCAGCTTATCATGCATCACGCTAACATTGCCGCCAAGGCCATAGCACAAGACGATTTTCTCATTCGCTTTCGTAATGAGAGCTGGCCAGCCTTGCCAAACACAGACGTCTCTGATGAATGGACGTATGAACAGAATACGAGCATCTTGTACTTTCTCGCGGAGAATGGATATACTGCCCTCATCCAGACAACTCTAAGATCTGAACCAGAGATCAACCCCCCAGGACAAAAGTATGGTTACCCGCTCTTCGCTGCCTTAGCCAACCGCCACATAGAAGCTGCTGCTGCTTTGCTTGGGTCAGATGTTTTCATATTCAGCGTAGTCAATTTTACGCAAGACTTTGGAGTCAAAACCAGCCCAACGAAACGAACACCTCTTACTTGGGCAGCGCAGCGCGGGCATAGGGAGATTGTGGAGCTTCTCCTTAAAAAGGGATCATCTCCTGACGAGGTGGACGTGGGTGGAGAAACGCCATTATCCCGAGCTGCAATGAACGGTGCAGCCGCGGTGGTGGAAACTTTGGCCAATCACGGTGCAAATGTCAATAGGAAAAATATCGATTGGTCAACGCCACTATCACAGGCATCGATGAATGGTCATGGGGAGGTGGCCAATATACTGATCACGAAGGGGGCTAGAGTCAATACAGATGTCGGCGGCGGCTGGACACCGCTCTTACTAGCTCTACAAAACAGCTACAAGGCCTTGTCCATATTCTTGATCGAAGAAGGTGCAAATATAAAGGTTACAGCTACTCACGACTGGACTCCGCTGTTACTGGCCTCGAAGGGTGGCTCACTAGTACTTATAGATCTGCTAGTAAAGCTCGGGGCAGACATCAATCTTCCAAATCGATTTGGGTGGACACCAATATCCCTAGCAGCTGAGAATGGTCATCAGCCAGCGGTCGAGCTCCTCATCAAACACGGGGCCGAAATCAACGACCCTGGCCAAGGAGGCCGCACGCCTCTGTCGTTGGCGTTACATAAGGGCCACGAGCCCATGGCAAGGATGCTCGTGCGACAGGGGGCGGATGTCACTCATAACAACCCATTGCCGCTTGTACTCGCCTCTGAAAAAGGCTTCTATAAGCTTGTCACCCTCATGATCCAGGAAGGTGCCGAAGTGAACGCTGAGACCGGCAGTGGCTCAACACCTCTCCTCGTGGCTGTAGAAAGAAAAGATATGAAAATGGTGAAGCTTTTGATCCAATTAGGAGCGCGTGTGAATTCCTCGACAGGATCCAGCTGGTCACCTCTGGCGGAAGCTTCCCAACACGGTCTTATAGAAATGATGCTTCTTCTTATAAAGAATGGAGCACAGGTAAACGCTGCCACCAATTTGGGCTGGACTTCACTGCACATAGCCTCAAGACACGGGTATGAGGCAGCAGTCAGACTTCTCATCTCTCACGGGGCAGATATTGTGGCTCGCGCTAAAGATGGCTTAACCCCTCTGTCGGAGGCTATGAAGTTTGGTCACAGAACTATAGCCAAGCTACTGGTAAAAGAGGCGGAAAAGAAAGGATTAGAATAGCGGGTTTGTCAATCAAGATCAATTCGTAATTGCTTGATCGATGAATGGCAGATTCCGGTGCCGTGCACCCATATATGGATAGGAGATATCAGATAGGCTCCTGCGCGGCAGGCTTCATAACAAGTCTTACTTGCTGCTAATGAAATAAACAAAATTACTCTGCCTGCTCTAGTAATATCCAATTTATCTCATGCATGGATCGAAGCTCCAATCTGGTGATTTTTGACCTCGGAGTGAACGGATCGGCTCGGAGTACCTTTTGCAAGGGCGGAGTAGCGGTGTACTCCGACCACTGTCGATGAAAATAATCTAATCGCACAACCCTCGATACTCTACCGAGGCGCCCAATGTGCGAGCCACTGTATCTACCGGAGGCTTTCGCTTTTACATTTCTTCTCTGCAATTCTCAGCGCTCAATTCGTCTCGTCGGACGCGGGACTTGGTGGTAATTGCGTCTTCGGCTTGTGGTGGAGAATCATGGAGTAATGCGGCACGCCGAACACCGGCACAACTTTCCTCACAACGAAACCAGCCTTTTCATAGAGGGTTCGTCCAGCCGGAGTCGCAAACATATAACAGTCGACTTCCTGTCGCTGAGCTTGCTCGATGCCCCAGTTCAACAGTATCTTGCCAATCCCTCGGCGTTGGTGACGGGGATCAACGCCGATGTATTCAAGATCTAGCGGGTTTGTTAGCTGACAGCGAGCCAGGAGAAAAGGGGAGAAAAAAACTTGCGCCAAATATGTGCCGTGCCATCTTTTCCAAAGGTATCGACGGCATCGCCTCCAACAATTGAGCGCATCTCCTGGTATGCGGCCAGGTCCAGCCCGGCTGGAGGCTCGGGGTCCTTGGGGTGCAGATGAACAGGCTCTCCCCGTCCGCTGTTGACCGGAGCTTCCCAGAAGGAGAAGCCCACGACCTCATCATTGAGCTGTTCATCTACGACGACCATCATGACGGTGCGTTCGGATTGTAGGGAAGCTCCCTTGCGGGCTTCACGCCACGGCGCGATTTTGGCATCGCCGGTGTCTCGGGGAAACAATCGGCGGGTGATTGAGTCGGTGGACGGGTCAAAGGCGGCGGCGGAGATGCGACCGATGGCGGGGATGTCCTCCGCAGCGGCAATTCTCATCCGAAGAGACATGGCGATTGATTCTGTGTGGGAGGGAGAGGGAAACCTTAAGTGTTTCTAGATCTACCTAGATAAAAGATTGACTCGAGATCAAGCGGGTGGAAGAGTAGGAGTATGACGTCTGTTGGCTTGGTGAGGTGGGAGCTATGGAGATAATGCCTTGTCTTAAGAACCGGAGCCTAGACTCAGATTGTCTAATTGAGGCTACGGAACCGGCCTAATTAATAAGTTAGTAAGTGGCCCAGGGTCTGACAACAGCCCGTATCACACAGTCGATCTCTCCACCCGATCCACCATGCACCCTTGCCTCCTCTATTGCGAAGCAGGCAGAAACGAGATCCTAGAATCTGTAATTGGAAAGCATGAGTGTTTCTGAGGCAGGTGTGCCTGCGCCATGAAGCGGATGAGACTCTTGGTTGTTAAGACATCTATATGGGGCGAGTTATGATGAGGCTTTCACTATGGCATCGTGACCGGCTTCACGTCCCGAAGGAGGACAAATCCGTAGTGCCGGGTCTAGCCGTGCTGCATTAGATGTGGAAGGAGATAAGACTGCAACTCTGATTTGCTCTCGCTAGATTTCGATCCAGATGGGGAAAGAAAAAGCAAATACTTCGGCCTCTGATGATAGCCATTGTCCGATTCGGAGCATTATGCTCGGAGCTTTCGGAGTGTTGAGCGTTCATTGTTTGTTTCACTAATGAGGTATTCCGACGAGGCTGCCAGCGAGCATAAGAGCTTTATGCTCCAAAACATGATTGGGATCTCAAGGAGAGACACTTGGAATGTTTGCCACTAGATAAAATGAACTGATTCCGTTTCAAACTCGCATAGCTTCCATCTGATCCTCGATGTCAAGTCTCGGCTAAGGCGCGTATCTGAAGCCGCTCACACCCTCCAGCACGGGCTTAATTCCTTGGTCGGCCAGTCTGTTCTGCTTTTTCAAATACATCGACATGGAGAATACGGCAATTGAGTAACAAATCTGTAGCGCAATTGTGGACCACATTCCAGGGAGGTAGAGCTGGACAGTATAAAGTCAGTACTCCGGCAACGTCTTCATATGGTACTGAATCGCCTTACCGGTGCGTCTTGGCTTCGGAACATGGTGCTACCTGCAATGCCTCCAGCGGCGCCTATTGAAATCATGGCCGCCGAGACTACCCCTCTCTTCTCTGGCCGTGCCGTTTGATTCTGGCCATATGCTAATGTCCCTGGGCTGTGAACGGTTAGTATGCTTCCATAAATTTGACGAGACGAGGGAACCTACACATTAGACTGTGCGCCGAAGACAGCAAGGAACATTCTATAATCGTAAGTAAATAGTATTAGCGCCTGAACGGGTGGCACATACCCGAAATATCGAACTCCTGGCAACTTTCCGTAAATCATAATCAACAGACCAATGATGCTGAAAGAGTTATTAGTTAACTTCCATTATGGCCGACTCTTCCTACTTACGCAAAGCCGGATTGAATGCATAGGATCCTTTCATGATATGTTAGTACAATGATCTAATTTGACTCATGTTTGTAAACTTACATCCATCGAATTCGGTACCTGTCTGATATCCATGCCATGAACATGCTTGCAGCAACCGCAAATAACTTGGGACCCGTTAGCTAGATGACATGGTAAACAGAGAGCTATCCACCTACATAGGGAGGGCTCGATAAAAGCTGTGACATCGCATAGTTGAACCCCATGCCCTCATTGAGAATGATTGTCTTGAAGTAGGACAGCGAATATACACTGGAAGCAGGGACAAAGTATATCAGAGTGCTGGGCACCTAGGTTAGCTTTGCCAATTTCAAAGGATTAGCTGCCCTGTATAACATACTAAACCCCGACTTTCCAGTCTTTCAGCATTGACAGGGCTTGTTTTACAGTAGGGTGCTCGTACTCGCGAGATACTTGGTCGGCGTGGACACGGTTTGCTGCGATGTGCTTCTCGCGTGGGTTAAGGAAGGTTGCCTTTTCGGGAACTGTGATAGTTTTTAGCTTCTAAGATTAAACCAGGTTGGATATGCGTCCACACTTACAGTCGACGAGTAAGAACATGGCAACTATTCCGACTGCTACCGTGAATGCTCCTTCGATGATGAAAATCCATCTCCAGCCGGCTGCGTACATGCCGTCTCCCACCCGAATAAGAGAGAGAGCGTATGCAATCTGCCTGATGTTAGCTAGATATTGTATCGGGCTCCGGAATTCCGTACGATTGGGCCGAAGCCACTGGCAACGAGTGCAGCCATGTAGAAGAAAGAAATCCGCTTAGCCATCTCGAACTGCTTGTACCAAGACCCGATTATGAACACAGCGCCGGGAAACACTGATCGAGGTGTTAATTGATGACAAGTGACTTGAAGGTGGGTCACTACTTACGGCCAGCTTCGAAGATACCCAGAAGCGTCCGCAAGACGGTCAATGTTTGCCAGTTATGGATAAACCCCATTCCAAGCACAGAAGCTCCCCAGGTAGTTACAAGGAAGCTCAACCACCATCGGGCTCCAACTCGCCGGATAACGAGGTTTGAAGGAAGTTCGAAAATTCCATATCCTGAAGCTGAGGTTAGACTCTATCCAGACAACTCAGGAATAGTACCATACCGATGAAGAAGACCAACAGTGCGACGTTGTATCTCGCCCTGCCCCGTGTTGTGTAAATACGTAAACCTCTTAATATAGGATCTGGGACAGCCACTCACCCAATTTGCAGCTGTAGATCCTTTGATAATCCAGCAATGTATGCAAGGGAGATGTTGGTTCGGTCAAGCAACGAAAGCCCGAAGATGACACAAAGCATCGGAAACACCCTCAGGTCAATCTTTCTCCTATGATGAAAGCTTGGTTAGCGAAGCCTATGAACGGCTCAGTCGACAACAGTAACTCACACAAGAGCTTTCTCCTCTGATTCATTCCAGTCCTGCACCTCCCCAGCGGACTCTGAAGAGTTGTTTTGCCTGGCATCTTCGACCAGACTGGTTCTGTGTTTGTCTTTTTCTTCCATGGCTTTTGTTGTAATATATGTGCACTAGTTGGAGTTGACTTGAGGTTGCTGAGTTTGGCAGTTCCTGAGTTCTGGGGATATGATGCTTATGTAGCCTCTTCCTACGGGTCAAAGGATCCAGTCCAACGCGTACTACGAACTTCCCAAGAGCATCCTCGCCTCATTTTCCCACCGCTCACCTCCCCAGACTGTAATGGGTGGAGTGAGGCCGGGGGTAAGGTTAACTTGGGTTCGCCTTTATGCTCAACCCCCGCATTCTAACCCCGCAAAATACCCCTGGTGCATATTAGGTCGCATTGTGGAGATAACAGTAGACGAAGACTGTCCACTTAGTGCTGCTACTCGACTGCACGAGGCATAATTGGCAAGTATGGCGCGGAGGTCCCGTTGGGGCAATGCTCAACCAAATGTTTGTTTAACTTTAAATACTCCAATTTCTGCATCGAATTATGCTTATTTCTAGCCTTCGAGCTTTATTTCCATGCAGCGAGTCCGTGAAATCCTGTGTAGATGAGTTCAAGGTTGAAGATGAATATCGCGTCCTCGTGATCTTCGGAGTACTAGAACGGTCCGAAATATACCAGAGAGCGGTTGTCTGACCTTTAGTAGCCGAATAAGTCTAAGTAGCCGATTCTGGGATATGTTGTTCAATAAGATGTTGGGTTAGTAGCCAATATCGTACGAGTCAGCGGGAGGATACTGCCACTACAAGCCTCTGGGCATAGACCACTTAAAGAACTTTGAAAGAAGGAAAGAAACTGATTCGGATTTATTTTCGTTTCTTGGAGATGATTCTGTAGGCAATCCTGAGGAGTGTCGGATCCTAATGTCACCCTACGCTCTTACAATAATTGGAGAGACTTTGGATGGTGCACGGGATCCGACATCGCACCATGCTTTCCCCCGCGTTCTATTTCGATTTGGACGACAAAAGAAAATAAACCAGGCAACTAACTCGTCGATCGTTCTCATGTCACCGTAAAGACCGAGTTGTCTTCAAATCGGCTGATGCCAGGCAAACCTCCAGGGGTTGTGTGCGGCCGCGGAGAACATTAACCGGCGTATCAACGTCAGGCAATATGTCATTTTCAAACCCCTGCTTGATAGTCCTTGCGGGGTAATTGGTTTGATGGATCACACGAGCTACAATAACAGTGCTTGGCAGGGTAAGGATGCCTGACTCAATGACTTGCGGTGGTCTGCCAAGAACGGTGAAGTTGTGCCCCCAATGCCCCCATGCTTTTTGGAAATGGGGTAAATAAAGGGCGTCGATTCTTGCCATTAATGATATCTTTCCATACGAGTGATATAAATATTGGATAATCTGGCATCGTGGGATGCAGTGGTGGTATGGTCCATTATGGCGCGATTGATCATATCAGTTTCCATACTTTGATATGAGCTTCTTCATGATAGCCATAGCACCACCACGGTAGCCCCCACCAAAAATGGAATAGTGATTCAACTGATGATATCTGTCCTCCCAGTCAGTAATGTGGCACGATGAAGACAATTCTCCAACTGAGTTGTTCAACTTACAGTTCATATAGCTGGATCCTGTCTTCCCATTCCTCCTTCGGTTCCGCCTTGGGCATCAGCTTTTCATATTCTCCCCAGAACTTACCACTATACCCTCCGAACATCTTCATGATTCCAAGCTCATATTCTGAATGCCCGTACACGGAAGAGGGGTCATATACGACTTCCTCAACACCGCCCTCGCCCGCAATCTGACCCCGAGAATGGTTCCCACTCCACAAATCTCCATGAACCACGACCGGAATAATCCCCTTAACTGTTTCGTCTCCAATCAACCGGGGGACGACCCGGCTGGCTACTGCCTCCACAGCATCTGCCACCTCGCGATCTGGCCCATTGTTCCTCACCGAGGCGCGGTATATACTGCGTAGCCGATTCTCGGCGTAGAAATCGGCCCATGACTCCTTCCAACTGTTTTCCTGGGGGGTATCGCCGCAGCAAGTTGTGACGGGAAAGCCAAACATGGGCTTGTCGTAGCCCTCAGGTATTGGTGCCGGGGTCGAATGGAGCCTGGCGAGCTTGGCGGCAAGGGAGAGATCTGAGCCGACGGGAGCAGCAGAGCCGAGATCGAGGAAGTCAGTGGCGAGAAAGAATTTATTAGGCGACGTTTGCATGGCTCCGTGAGCGTATGATTGGGGGCAAAAGTTCGGGAGGGCGTTGTGGATTGCGTTGAGAGAGGCGTGTTCTCCTAGAATGCACTGTCAGGGTCTTTCCGTCTCCAGAGACAGTTAATGGATGAGAGCGGCATCAAACCTTGGAACATGATCTCCGAATCCTTCCCCGAGCCAGTTTTTACGAAGAATGTCTTGGTTTCTCCGTTCACAATGCCGGAGAGCTTGAATGTGGATGAGAAGCCGCCACCGCCATGTGAGACCAGTTTGGCTTGGTCGGGGTCCAGCCCAAGGGCCTGAATGATAGCAGGGTCGACTTGAGGGGCCATGACTTTGTAGCACGCGGGTGATCACAAATACGTTTGGCAGCTTCGTATTTTGGAGCGTGGTCTTCGTCTCGAGCTTTTTGCGGCATTTGGGAAAAGTGAGGGGTGTGACGTCAGCCATCCATTCCAACCATGTCGATGGCTCATCGCCATAGATGACATCAACTCCATCTTCGTGTTTGCGAAGGCACAAAAAATTATGAAAGGCGACCATAGAGCCTTTCATTTACCTTGGGACAGTATTGTAATTTTCTTGAAGAGGCCTTTGCAAAGCGCAGCTTCGAGTCACTTTAAACAGTGTTCGTAGACTAGGCTGATAACCATTTGGCAGTCGAACACTCTTCATATTATAGATAGCATCTATGACTTCCCAGAAGTCTTAATAGAGAGTTAGTATCGCAAATATGAGTTATTTTGGGTAATGTTCTTTCACAAATGACTGAGAAGGCTACATGGCATGGCCACTGTTTGTATTGGCAATCTTCGCGACACTCGGGTCGTATTTAGAGACAATCTCCGCATCCCATCTATTTTTCCAGAAGACAAGTACATTTCTGCTTAAGAACAGATGAATTTTGACTTGAATTTAAACTAATCCAATAATCGAGGTGGCCCTGATAGCTTGGCGCTTGGAAGACTAGCCAAACATCAGACATGGACTCGCCATCTTCGCTCAACTTAGTCATTGAGATGCGTTTGGTTGGATCTTCTTCAAGCCACCATGTTGCTTATGATCTCGGATGATCTAAATGACCCTGTTCAAGGTCTTTTCTTTACCAGCACCAGTGGCTCAATCTAGGGATGAGGATAGGTAGGTAAGTAGTGAATCAAGAGACTAAGGTCAGACAATAACCACGCAACACAATAGAGGGATCCTATTGTAATCACATGGTGGCGCATATTGACTAACCTTTCACTGACTTATAAATGTATTTACCTTCGCTCCCTCAATACTAAACCATATGGATTTGCTGATTTATGTATTATAAGAGCCAAGACCGATATTCGCTCAAGTTAATAGTAATGATAAGAAAGGGACTTCCTATTGTGTGGATCACTTGCATTGTCCAATGGAGCAACCCCCCAATTCCCATTGTCACAGTCGGAAACCCAACTTCTATTGTTTTCCGCATTGTCAACAACACAAATCTATTGTTTGCACCCGTCAAATACAATGCCATTGGCCGAATTCGAAGGGTTCAATTGCTATTATTCTCATAGCCTAGAAATGCCTAGGCCTCAGAGTCCGTAACACTATATAAACAAAACTCATAGAGCATTATCTTCTCTCTTTCATAGACAGATCCAACCCAGACAAACACTATCTTCTACATTTCATTTGTCCCATCGTCGATTCACTCCATCATGCCTTCCTCTATGCTAAGGCTGGTTACCCGCGCATGGCCGTCTGCCCTCCTCTGGATACATCCCACGAAAGTGCCACCAGAGATAGGCAAGAGACGACTTGAGGAGTTTCTTGCGTGGGTGGCAATGCTACAAATCAACGAAAAGAGACAGAGAGATCGACTTTCTCTTTACGCATTTGGCGTTATCACGTAAGGGAATCCCACCGAAGAGTATGAAAATTCATCTACTAACAAATGCCCTCTAGTGATAATCTACACGTCAGTGCGTCAGACGCTCATCCGCATGTCACCATCGCCGCTGCCACCGAAGAAATGAGAGCTCAAGGAAAGCACATCGTAATACACAGCAGAACAGATACAAAGGATCATGATATTGCCAAATTCGCAGGCGCAAAGGAGTACCCAAACAATATCAAAGATACCCCGGCGGAAATTAGGCAATCGTATCTCGCTCCCTTCCACGTCCACAACGTTCTTCAGGCTGACACAACCGGGGCTTGGCCTGTAGCTTACTTTCGGGACTCTGCCGACAACGCCGATAAATGGTTTTTTCTAAACAACAGCAATCAAATTTCTTACATTCCCCAATTCTTCAGCTTCAGTAGTGGGGGTTCAGAGTACCTGGCATTTTTCAACGCGAAGCTACAACGGTTCTGCAGGGCTGTCTTCTTTGACCAGCAGCGGCCAGGAGCTTCCTTCCCAGCCCCCGAATCTACCAACCTTGCGCCACTGGGCGGCGTGCCAGAAGAAATTCAGCTTCATATCAAATGGGGGCGTGATATGAAAAACCTGATCAGATTCACATCTGCTGATGGCAAAAAACGCCGGTCCTCATGGAGAGATTGGCGGTTGGTTGGTTGATTCTGGCCAAAGACACTTCTTGTGCGAAGAGCTATGTAAGCCGCAAATCTTTTCAGCAACGGCCATGCCCGGGGAATGGGTTGAAGTGACATTCAAGAGATCTTCTGACAAACCGTACAGGTTCACGAACCAAGCTGGTAAGACATTCAAACTGAAAAGAGCAGCTTGGTTTTCGGGTCAGGATGGCTCGTTTTTTGCTTCAATCCAGAATAGAAAGGTTTACCTCGCTACCAAATTGTCAGGCGGCTAGGAAGATGATCGACGGCGAACAGTCTCTCATCTGGGAAATATGGACGGCAGTTGTTCTTTCTTGACAGATTCATTACCGCGCTTCAAGTACGAGGCTGGGAATACTTTAGCGTTCATCTTTATTTCATTTTTTATGACTGGTTCTGATTTTATCTTTAGACAGCGGTAGGTAGAATTCATAAAGCAGATTTAGCTAGGCTACCTGTTTTTGTCTATCTAGATTTAAATCTTATTAATACCGCCGACACACACGTATGGAAGAGGTGTCCTCATGCAACGAAATCAAGGGTTACTTAGGTTCATTCAATCTACAGGGGCAGCAGCATTTTTCCTCCCTACATGCTACGTCATAAAGACAGTCAGGTGGGCACAGGTTTGAGAGGTGATGACAGGTCTGGGTTTCATTCTACCTGGTTCTGTGCGAATTCTGGGCTAAATACCCATACCCGGAGGTACCTTTCCACCGAACTCAGTCGGCCCACCTGCCTGTATAGTCATCCTCGCAACAGCGACCGAAGTCATGATATTTCAATGTAGGTACCTTAGGTATTTTGCTATCTGCAGGCTATGGATGTGATTGGCTAGGATTAGCAAAGAGTAGATTAGAAGACGGAATACAGATGAACTCGAGCAGAAGCAAGCTAGAGGTGACTGACCTACCCGAATAAATAGAAATAGCTAGCTACAAGAGGCAGAGGGATCTTTCTTCCCTCTCCATCCTCTCAATCTCTCAAGAAAAGTTCTCAACTCAATTTAATTTTTATCGCATCTTCTTCCTCCTTACGTTATCTTTGCTTCATCACATAGGATAGCTTATTTTCTAGGTAGTAATAATTGGCCGGTTTTGGACCACCTCTTTGGTGCATCCAGAACTTTGTTGAACATCGTCTGAAGTTCCTCGAAGGTGAAAAGTCCAGATTTGATGCGTATGAAATATCTGATCTGGCGAGTGCTAGAGCATCGAACTTTGAGCTCCCAGACTGGTCTTTTTGCATCATCTGTTATCATAATGATTAGGTATTGGTTCATAATTTCGGTTTGGGCAGATATAAAACTTTGGATGCTGAGTTAATGCCTCAGGGCACACAACAACTGCCCTCTCCCGAACCATGGGCCTTATACCTGGCCCATTGGCGGAACCCTCGCTGATGGGGTCTTTGAAACCTGGTAAGCTTGTCCCTGTTGATAATTACATAGGCGACCTTTTCATGACGTACGAGGACTTTGAAATCCATGGGCAGTTTATTGGCGACCATTTGCTGCCCAGGTTCTTGTGGTCCCAGTTACGCCTAAATTTCAAGAAGGTCAAGCCAGGCTTCGATTCTTTTCTGGCCATTAGATGGGTACACAAAATCGGAGGTCGCGTTTTGTTCAAAAGAGAGTGCGAGAAGTTGAATACATGTTCATTTTTCCCTCACCTGACGTTTCACTTTCTCATGTGGGTTCTTCCCACTTCCGTAGTCCAGTATTCCACACAGCCAAACACCACACCACGATCATGAATCCAGACCCGAACAGGGCTCCCCAGACTCGCAGGCTGTCGCTTCAGTGGATACTAACCCAACGACAATATCCATCGAGCCAGAGGAGCCACTGACCATATCTTTAACCACGCCTCAAGCTCTAGCTCAGATTATCAACAAGGCCACGGGCGATGCTATAAACATTAAAGGTATGGGGAAAGCCTTCATCTTACTTCTCTTAAATATTCCCAATGTTCTTAACTCTCTAGGTGTATCTGCTTCTAGCTTTAAACGCCTCAAGAAGTTTAGAAGTTCTAGAGGGCGAAAATATCGGTTGAAGCGCTACGACCTAGCAGATTGACTATTGGACAACGCCATCCCTACACTTACCCATGAATTTATGTATATCATGCTATATGAGATTATCACGGAGAAAGTACCCCGATGGATGCCATAATGGTACCCGCACTAGTAAGACCCATGATCAGATCATCAGCTGGTAAATGTCACAAATAGATCGAATGTTCAATTATTTAATGCGCCAAAAAGAGCTAAAGCATTTGTTGAAGTCTTAATAAGCTCCCTGTTGGGAACTTAGGTATGTGTGCGATGATTGAATGATTGATACAGTTTGACTTGGGGTCAGATAGATTATCTTAATCTCTAGATATCCAGTTCTACGTATAGACTTGAGAGTTGACGCAACAAAGATTTCTAATTAAACAACTTGAAATTCCCATTAGAATACAGAATCATTTTCTAGACCTATGGCGGCGGGTAAACGTGCAAGAGGAAGAAAACAATTTTGCACCGGAAGGCCATCCACACTGTACGTCTCTTGCGGCTTTCTTCAACATTTGAAAATAAAAGAATGACCGACGGATTAAAGATGGACTTTGCGGCCATAAATTTCTTCCTGGGGATAAGACTGATTGGGAGGGCTGGGTCAGAGATGTGAGAGTGGGATCAAATACGTGGTCTCACCGAGGCTCGGCGGAATATATCAGTGCACCCAAAGCAGGTAGTAGAGCATAGGGCCGAGACCAGGATAAGCTTATATCATCGGTAATCAGTAATCTCTATTAATAATTGCGTCTCGGTTGTAATTTTACATTTAAGGAGGCTCAATCTCGAACCGCCAGTCCTCTCGTCAAGTACCAAACTCATTAGCCCGCAAATACCAATCCCACTTTCATCTTTTGCGAGAGAAAACATCTACCATCGTTAAGAGTTCGATAATACATTCTGATGGCCAATATGGCTCCTTCATCTGAGAACGCTAGCGGTTCTCTCGACACTGAGCAAGCAGGAACCAACATGAAATCATTGAGCCCTACGAAAGCTAGCTCGACACCAACACAGTCAACGCCATCCACTGACATAGAAAACGAGAAAGAGACTGAAAAACGAGGGACTGACGAGTTTGACTCGGAAGAATCCGCAACTGCGGCCCCGGTCGAATATCCCAAAGGAGGCCACCTCGCTCTTGTTACGACCGCTCTTGTTTTGTCGGTATTTCTGGTAGCACTAGATCAGGTAAGCATACGACATATTTTCCCTTGTTCTCATTTCTTGAAAGAGTCTAACTTTATACTTTAGACTATTGTCGGAACCGCTATCCCCAAAATCACGGACGAGTTCAAAGGGCTTCAATATGTGTCATGGTACGGCACCGCGTACTTCATGACCTCCGCCGGCTTCCAGTCATCCTGGGGCAAAGTCCCAATATACTTCAACCTCAAATTCAGCTTCTTGGTGGCAATGGTGGTCTTCGAGGTCGGCAGCCTTATTTGCGGTGTTGCCCCGTCAGCCACGGCCTTCATTGTCGGGCGCGCGATCTCGGGTCTAGGCTGCGCGGGCATCACAACATGCGCCATGACCATCATAGTCCTCAGTTCAAGACCAGAGAATGTCCCGAGGTTCATGGGAGTCATCGGGGCCACGTACAACCTCGGCGCGGTATGCGGGCCTCTGATCGGGGGCGCGTTTTCGGAGGGCGTCACCTGGCGCTGGTGTTTTTATATCAACCTGCCCATCGGTGGCATTGCACTCCTCGTCGTGATGTTCTTCTTCCGTAACCCTGGCCACTCAAAGCCCATCGACGCCACTCTTCGAGAGAAGATTACGAATCTCGACTTGGGGGGCGTGGCTCTGGCCATGGGGGCCATCGTCTCGTTGACACTGGCTCTCGAGTACGGCGGACAGAGAATGCCATGGAGCAGCAGTACCGTCATAGGCCTTTTGGTGGGATTCGTGGCGATTGGCGTCGCCTTCGTGGCCTGGCAGATCTGGCAGGGCGACCGAGGGATGATACCGCCGCGGGTTATCAAAGTCTTGCCCATTTGGTCCACCTCCCTGTTCCAATTCTTCTTCGCCGGCTCATACATGATATCGCTTTATTATCTGCCGATATACTTTCAGAGTGTTCACGGCGTGAGTCCGATCCAGTCTGGCGTAAGAAACCTCCCCTTGGTCATCGCCTCAGCAATTGCGATCCTCTCCACCGGTCAACTCGTCGCCAAAACACAGAGGACAGGGCCTGTGATGGTATTCGGCTCCTCTCTCGCGACAGTCGCTTGCGGTCTGTTTTATACATTCAATACCGATACCTCTACCGGAAGATGGATTGGATACCAGATCCTCGCTGGCGCTGCTTGGGGTAGTGGCTTTCAGATGGCGATCAATACTGTCCAGGCCAAGGCAAAGCCGGCAGATCTCTCAACCGCAATATCTCTCAATTTCAGTAAGTTTCTTCAAATCGCTCGCCGCGCAGAAAGAAAATACGAGATTAACTAGTTCGCAGCTTTTCAAACATTTGGGGGAGCCTTCGGCATCGCGGCGGCTCAGAGTGCTTTTGTGAACATCATGACGAGCAAACTGGCTTCTACTGCCCCCACGGTTGATCCCGCCACGGTCATATTGACTGGCTCGGCCGAGATTCGGAATGTGTTTGCCCCTGATCAGGTGCCTGGGATTGTGCTTGCCTACATGTCGGGGCTCAAGGTTACCTTTGCCCTCATGGCCGGATTCGCCGGAATGTCCTTTCTCTTGAGTGGTCTACAGAGCTGGAAGAAGATTTATGGTGATAAGAAAGTAAGTGATGCTATCCAGGCCTAGATGTTATTACATTTAGCTTTTTCAGTATAGAATTCTGTTGGAGAAGGGGAAGTAGTTGTGCGATGTGCAAGGAGGAGTCGTTCAAGTTTGGGGCGGGAAATTACAAGATTGCAAGATGCCTAGAGAATCATATAGAGCTTCAATTTCTTTCAATTTAGTCTAATAATTATTATCAATTCTATTTCATTAGAGTTTTATTCAATTCCTAGAGCATATATTGATAGAGTAAACATCATTTCTTTTTTACAAGCAGGAGTAGAGCATCAAACGTGACGCTACCCATGGCCTACGAAGTCCAGTTATCTATGCCCAGGATCTCATCTGGAAGACCTCCTTCTCGCAGTGAGGTATCGCCGACATTGACACCCTGCAACCGCGGCACAAAAGGTGCAGTTCCAAAGATCTGTGTCTGAGTGGCTGCCAAGGCTTCTGAGGGAAAGTCTGGGGAATCCAACACCAGGAATTGGTCCATATCAGTGTCAAAATCCGGCATCAGCGATATTGGGCCAGAGAGCGGATCAAATTGATGTTCCTGTTGGTCCTTGGAAGCCACCTGTCGGCATTCAATCGTGATATGGCTAAAATGGGGAATAGGGATGCCAATACTCTTGCAACCTTTCCCCTCTGCGCCGCCATCCGTATCCTCATCCTCAACAGCGGGGCCAGACCGAATTCTCACAGTGTAGTTACGCCCTTTTGAAAAATCTTCCTCGACAAGCAGCAGGCGTCGTAATGCTTGCTCGTTTTTTTCGTCCAGAAGTTTACCTTCAGATCCCCTCACATCCTCGGCTGCCTGAAGCATACACTCTATCATGGCACGATCGCTGCGGCGCTGGTGTGCAAAGACACTAGTGATCTTTGGATGCAGTCGGCTGTCAAAATGCCCAAGAAGCAGTGCCATGGAGGCCAACAGGGCAAGAAAGCCCAATGCACGATGGCATGCACCCGCGCTTCTGAAATGATGGGAAGCGAGGAACCGTGTGAGGAGCTCACGGCTTGCACTCATGGTAGCGATTCTTGAATAGTCGTACTTGGTGTCCGGGTCGAAGAGGAGGAGGTATGGCAGGTGGAGTTGAGTCACCAGGTTGAAGTAGAACATCTGGGCGGATACGCGGGCCATGGCCCAAAACTCGTCCTCGGACCCAACTTCGACACCAACGAACCTTGGGGATATCCAAAAATTTTCTGGCATGGTTGAGCCTACTCTGATGAGCTCTGCATCAATTTCCTGCGTCAGATTCAAGTCGTTCGCTTGGAGGCCTTTCTCGTTGCGGTCTATTATCCGCGAAGCTATAACCGCTTGAAGTCGGCCCAGCTTGTCCAGGGGTCCATCCGAAGCCAGCACGGAGTCAGGAGGCATTTCAGTATGGGGAGTACCCTGTGGAAGTCCAAGTAACAGGCAGAGATAGCGGTCGAGGTAGAGAATCCGAAACCAGACAAAATGGGGTTCCGTCTTGCAGGAAGGATCAATGTTTTTGACCGGTGGTGGGAGGGAGCGGTGGATGCCCATCATCTGAGCAACTAACAATGCTCTCCTCACGACCTGCCATGCCTTTCTCAGGTTTCCGTTGGTTTTGTGGAACACTGACTCGTAGATGATGCACTCAAGACATTCCATGGTGCCGTGTAATTTTTCGTTGGTAGTCACCAAAGTCGAGACGGCTTCGACCAGTCGATTGATTATCGCGCCAGGCTCCTCGGCCAAACCATGAATTCTATCCACACCGGATTGAAGAAATGAACAGAAGAGGAGCATTTTCTTTGCTAGGAGGACTGGATGGGAAGCAGGGTCCATCAGCTCTGCACTTGAAGGTGGCATCTTCAGCGGTGTGAGGCCTTCTCACTCCAGCGATCCGAAAGACGCGCTGTCCGCCAAATGGAAGTAAAACTTGTGGCAACACATGAACTGGCAGATATTATCTGTATCTTGATGAGAAGGAAAGGCAGCCAACAACGCGCGCGTAATTTTCCCATTTTCTCCTAACAGAGGAGGCATTTGTCTACGAGTGCTCGATGGCCAGGCATCATGAGGCTACGACAACCATTAGCTCCTAGATCATGGTATGGAGGTGTTTCCTGGCATCACAAACCTCATGGAATCCCCGGTCTGCTCCTTGAACCTCATCACTCCCATGGCTTGGATTAGGAGCGTCATGTAAGCTGCGCATAGGCTGGCCCTGAGCAGAGATGATGGTGCCCGTGAGTACGTCGACTTGCTTGGCTAGATCTTGCACCAGGCCCTCGACCCTGGCAATTCGATCACCGATCTGCTGGTCCCTCGGCGGGGCCAGCTCCTCGGGTAGTTCTTGGCCAGCGCACACGGCACCGCGTCGACGGCAGTTGTTGCATACGGTGTCGTGGGGGGATGCAAATACGCAACGGACTTTGCGGCGTTTGCAGTCCCAGCAGCTCCGAGTCCCTTTCCTGATGTTGTGACGCCTCGCCGAGCTCTCGGAGGCTCGCGATTTGTGGACCTCGGCGGAATCCGGGTAGAGCATGTTCAAAGCCAAAGACTGATGAAGGTTTCTATTATGAAGAGGGAAGAAAGAGTTCGACGTTTGGTCAGCCAGCCGGACTTGATCTCGGGCCACTAAAGTGGTCTTCCGCCGAAGCTCGGTGATGCGAAGCGTCATCGGTGCATTCCACCACAGGCCCACTCCGATATCCATCACTTCATCCTCTCAGATTGGCTCCAGAAATTCATTGCGATTGGTGATAGGAGAGATCAACAAGCCATTATGGATTATTCTGTCCCCTTACCTCGTGTCTTTATCCTGTTTCATGTCGTAATCCGAGCATCAGGGCTGCAGTGTTACAGTTCATAAATTCTACCTACCCTAGAGCACGCCCCATCATCCCCTCGCAGAGATTATGACTTGCCAAGCTCTCCTTAACCGGCTTACCTCTTATTTTTCGAGGAGTAGCTGTATATTTCTTAGTATAGTGCTTACTATCTGTAAATTGATTCATTCTTATGCTTTGTTTATCTAAATTGATAGTAGAAAATGTAGGAAGAAGAGATAGCACGTATCTACGATCGTAAAAAGCGGCGTTTGAGACTTTAACTACATTTACAAACCATTGATTTAGTCTCACAATAGAAAATCAAAGCATTGATATCACAGGGGCAAAGCGCGAGAATAATAACAGACCCGAAGACTTCCGAATGAAGAAAACCTTCGTAACATCAGATATGAGCGAAGAGCTTAACTTCCAGAGAGGACTACATAAATGGCCGAGGTGTATGTTCATATGTTAGATAAATTCTACCTCAGGTTAATTTACTAATGATTAGTCTTGAGAAAAGAAACTTATTCTAGTTTATTGCTAATTCATGATCATGCTTCTTCATGAAGCGGTTCTTTCCACGCAAGGCGAATTTTGGCGACGATCGCCTTCCCAAATTATTTATTATTGAAATTGCCTTGCAGAGGCTTAGAAGTGGCGTTGACCGGAAGACCCGTTGAAATTTCTTCTAAAAATGCAAAAATGCGACATCAAGGGTTGCAGTTTGATGCATCTTTGGATAATAATGACCCGACGTGACCAATGATGAGACGCCAGCAAACTAGTTATGCAGCTTATTTGGCCGGTAAGGCGTCCAGCTCCCCTGATAATTTCGCCATATATAAGCAGCAAAAGGGGTTGTCAAAGTAATGGAATGCTGCGTCTTTCTCCTTGGCCATGACATCCTTTTCTAACTTGCCATGGATTCGCCGCCACGCCCCGCCACCCGTGGCGAGTTTCGCATCGCCATCATCTGTGCGCTCTCGCGGGAGGCTAATGCTGTCCTGCTGCTGTTCGACGAAGAATGGGAGGAGGAGGGTGAGAGCTATGGCCGTGCTGGAGGCGATTGGAACCACTACACCACCGGTCGTATCGGACGGCACGCTGTTGTCTTGGCTCATCTCCCAGGCATGGGCACCCAGAATGCAGCAGCCGCGGCGGCGAGCATGAGGTCCAGCTTTCCCGGGTTGAAGATGGCACTCCTCGTCGGAATCTGTGGCGCAGTGCCCAGGATCGGTCGTGACGATGTGATGCTGGGAGACGTGATGATCAGCAATCGCATTGTCCAGTACGACTATGGCAAGCAATATCCGGGACACTTTGAAATAAGGCCGTCACTCGCTGGACCGGATGCGGACCTTTTAGGCCTTATTTCTGCCCTAGATACGGATCATGTAAGAGATAGGCTTAAAAAAAAGGCGAGGAGCTATCTGAGACAGCTGCAGCGCGAGGCAGATTCGCCCGACTCGGAGACGGGACGGCGTCACCGTGCAAGCTACATATATCCAGGCTTGGGGGAAGACAAGTTGTTCCGAGCAGACTACATTCATAAGCACGATAGGGACTGCCATGAATGCCGCAAAGGTTTCTGCGAAAAAGCTTCGAAGGCCTCATGCTCTAGGCTCGGGTGTGATGGGTCGAAGCTAGTTTCAAGAAAGGTAGATGGCATAGACGGCCGAAGCTATCAGTCAAAGATAGAGATATTCATCGGGCGAGTGGGCTCGGCAAACACTGTGATGAAGTCTGGAAAGGATAGGGATCGAATTGCTGCCACGCATGACCTTATTGCGTTTGAGATGGAAGGTGCTGGTATTTTGCACCAAGTCCCATGCATCGTGATCAAGGGTGTTTGCGACTATGCAGATAGCCACAAGAATAAGACGTGGCAGGACTTTGCCGCTGCTACAGCCGCGTCCGTGATGAAAGCGGTTTTGCAGAGATATGATTGCCATGACAGGTTCACTACTCACAGCCGACCAGTGTCACCTATGCTGACTATCTGCAATACCATCCCGTATACCCGGAATCGCCATGTTGTCATACGCAAGGGAGTGGCAGAGAGATTGGAAGCTCTTTTACCACAAACATCTTCATATGCCGAGGCTGCGCTTTGGGGGTTAGGCGGATCAGGGTAGGCATCCGTGTTCTTATGGTTTCATGCAGAATAATTACTAACCTCGAGTAGAAAGACTCAAATCGCCTTGGAGCACGCATATAAGACGTGGGATTCTAAGAATACTTTTGTATTCTGGGTACATGCAGATACAGAAGCTACTCTGATGCAGGATTATAAAAATATTGCGCGTAAACTCAGGTTGGGCGCGTCACTGAAGGGCGAGCAGCTTTTGGAGGCTGTGTGTGACAAGATGGAGTCACTTCCTCGTTGGTCACTCATTATCGACAATGCAGATGACATCGATTTATTCGGGTCATCTGGGAGGACATATACGAGAAGGGACTGCTTGCGAAAATATATCCCCAAGTCTGCCAGAGAGTCCGCCACAGTGGTCTGGACAAGCCGCGATGAGAAGATTGTCGGCACTTTGGTTGGGCCAGGATGTGGCATCGAAATAGCCGGCATGAACGATTCCGAAGCGCGTGAACTATTCAAACGTACGACGGATACGATGATAACTGATGGAGATACACAAGCCAACGCTGAAACTCTGAAGCTATTCAATGACCTAGAATGGCTAGCGTTGCCCATAAGTCAGGCTGGAACCTTTATGAGGCGAACTTCAATGCCAGTGGGCGAGTATTTGGCTCGTCTCTCAGACGACAACCGTCGTTGGGAGCTTCTCCAGTCAAGTGAGGCGGTATCAGACCAAAGTCACAGTAGACCCGGTGTGCCTAATAGTGTCCCGGGCACATGGCGCATCTCCATCGAGCGGATCCGACAGGAGAACGAGCTGGCTTATCATATATTGCACGTTCTGTCTTATCTAGATAACAAGAACGTTTCGCATGTTATTATGGAAGAAGCAGCAAAATATCACGGCAAAAATGCTCCTCGTGACCGCACATCCCAGGCATCCTACCCAAGACCGCAGTTTGTGATAGACGACGATGATCCTGGCTCACGAAATTTAGATGTCATAGAAGCTATAGCTAAGCTTAGGGATTACTCCTTTGTTCGCGTGGAGGCAAGGAAAGGCAAGATGATGACTTATGAGATACACAAGCTCGTTCAAGATGCTGCTCGATATGGATTACACATGCAATCACGAGCAGGCTCCCAAAACAGCACCAGGCAACACAGGGGCCAGCAGGAAGCCAGCAAGGAGGCCTATTTTTCAGGAATCGCCCTCGAAGTCATATACAACCTCTATCCACGGAGAGAATATAATGCGTGGGATCAGGCAGAGAAGTATCTTGCCCACGCTATGAAGATAATCCAATGGGCAGATCTCTGCAGGATGCCAAACCGCACAGCATCACTTATAGATCGGGTCCGACAATTCATATCAGGCCGAGCTCTCTACTCAGAAACCGTGGTGCTAAGGTTGGCAAAAAAGACACTTGAGCTTCGACAAAAGGCACTCCATTACCAACACCGAGATGTTCTCGGCAGCATGTACGATGTTGCAAGAGCGCATTACGATCTTGGAAATTATGATAATGCTGAAGACCTCGCGGACGAGCTGTACCCATTAGACAAGGAAGAGTTTGGTGGAATGTCCCCCAAAACAACGCAAACCCTGATATTGAAAGCAGAGGCAGCGTTTAAGAACGGGCGTCGGAAGGAGGCAGAAAAAGTATTGTCTCGGGTAACAGACCGTTACAGTCGCGCAGGCAAATACGACAACACATTCGCCCAAGCCATGTATTCTCGCGCATGGATGCACGAACGTCAAGGAGATAAAGATAGAGCTCTACACCTAGCGCTCTCTGCGAAAGAGGTTCTGCAGCAGCATGGGTCCAGTGAATATTACATTTGGTCTATGCAGCTTGTGGCGGAGATATACATATATCGTATGAACTATGCTGGCGCTATTTCAACACTCCGGCCCGCACTGAGAGATTCCCAACAGGTATTCGGGACAGCTAAAACAACGCTTGATATAATGTTCTTATTGGCCTTTTCACACTTCTATATGGCCGAATATGACAAGGCGGAGCCCGTGGCGAGGAGAGCAGTGAATGAAGCAAAGAACATGTTCGGAGCAGGTGACTCCCAAACTCTCCAAGCTCGGATTCTGTTGGAGAAGATACGAATAGCAATCAGAGATTGTGAATACGAGAGCATCCCTCTGAATAGGGCATCCATCAGCCACGCTTTGAATGAAAAGTTGCCGATCATGGATCACATATCAAATTGGAGGGCTCGACTTTCCGCAAGACTCTTTTTCTGAGTAGTGGAACTCACAGAAGCCGCCGATATTGAGAAGGTCTTTGTTATGATGCATTGAAGGTTCCCTATGTATTTGCACTTTGGCCGAGAATTTTTCAACACTGTAAGACAAGTGATAAAGTGATAATACCCGGACATATCCTCTCAAAGGACTACTATGGATTTCTCCGTTGCCGAGGCTTGGTATTCCCGCAGTTCGACTGAAATCACGCCACGAAATTTACCCAGTACGCCTCATTGTTGTGCCTGCGGGCACACTAACCCAAAAATTGGGGTATAAGCCATCGGGTATCCATGAGTTTGACCGCCCGTTATCATGCCGATCAAGTTGTCTACGGATGGAAAGGGAAGCGAAAAGAGGCCCACGGCCAGGGCTCCAGTGGTGGCGGAACAACCGGGTGCAAGGATCACCGCTGCTTGCATGAACATGAGGACATCGTTCATCTGAAAGGCCAGTCCTGTGACGATGCCCCCCCTGCTAGGCGGGGCCGGTTTATTTGGGATTTAAAGCCGGAACGGGCGAAATGAGGCACCGCCCTGGTCGTCAAAGGGGGTCACCTGAAGCGGATCGCGCCGCAAGTAAACATGAAGGTTGCTTGTCCTCAGGTGGTGGTGCATCCGCGGCGGCCTCCGCAGGTTCCAAGGATATGGATAGGGTATCAAGATCCTCGTTAGTGCCGTGGCGAGCTGAATGACCAAATCTTAGCATTGATGAGTGGCATGGGCCTTGGCCCGGACACAAGCTGAACAATGCGGCCGCGTTGGATACGAAGCTCGGCCTCGCTCTCAGGAGTGCTGCCTGGGGTTTCGTCAGCAGCCTGGGCTTTCTACGCTTACAGTCGGTAATACAGTACTCCAGGCATATTATCAGTTGTCCAGCAGACCTGAGTAGATTGTCCCGCTGTTTTTACTGCCAAGCAGAGGATATTGGTCGCTTAATTTGGGGATATGGGGCAAGCGGGTAGAAGAATCTGACGGCAATCTAAGCCCTATCAATAGACGATGGCCACGAACCAACGTGTTGGTTTTGGATGCGGGAGAGGATGATGCAGACGGGGATCACCGATGAACTCCTCCTCACCCCTGCAGGCGAGCTGTCTTGCAGGCATCAGGTTCTCCACCCCCAGGTGACAAGAGCGTGTTCCAGCGGAATGTTCAGGCCATGTTAATTACTCGCTAGGGTCTGTCAGGGTAGTTCTTACAATGTCATAGGTAACAAATGAAAGTTGAAACCACGTCGGAGAGACAGCATCTTGGCTAGTTAAGAGAAAGTAAGATAGCTGAAGACAAAAGGCGAAAGCGAGTAAATTAGATAAGATAAAAAACCGGTTTTGATTTCGTTAGACTGAGAAAGCCTCACCTCCCAGCTGACCTTGGACGAAAGCCAATCTTGTTTCCTTCAACCCCTCGTCCAGTTCAAAGCCATTGATTGACGGAAGAATAGCATATCCCAGAATTTCAACTATCCTCTAACTGCAAATAGGTTGGCTGCTTGGCTTTTGAACAGAATTACTGGGGTTCGTCTGGCCACATCCATTAGCCGCGCCCAGGAGCGTATCGTCAACCGCGGCATTGTAGGCCGCACCGCAGTTTGGGTCACTAAAATCAGATATTACTCTCTGTAACAATAGAGATGACGAGCTGTAATTCGTGCTTACCTTGAGCCGCCGCTTGCACTATTAAAGTAGGAGCATATGTCATGCGAAAAGCAGTCCTGTGTGTACGCATTTCCAAGCGCGGTGCCTGTACAGCCTGCGCCACATCGACCATTGCATGAATAGCTAGATATTGAAGTAAGATTCTTGTATGCGGCAATAGGAATTGATCATCTGAAAATCACAAAACTTACTCGCCAGATCCGGAGGGATTTGTGCCAAAGTTACTTCCCACTGTCCCAGTCCATCGACATGACTGGCCAGCTGAGTTGGTCCATTGAGCTGTAGCTTGTTGTCCAACGGTCAAACAAGTTACAGATCGCTTCTGAATGGCTGGAGAGGCAACGGATAGTCCCGCCAAAGTGAGGAATAGGGTAGTGTTAATAAACATCTTGTAATCGGCTCATCAACGAATTTCAAGTACAAACAAACGCCTGGACCAAATAGCGCAGGCTCATTATTTATATACAATCTTAGGATTTCCTACTTCCATCTTTTCTTTTCATGAACGGCACTTGTCCCCGCACCAGACTGGCAACGTCTCGGAGAAAATCTCGGAGCCAGCCTCAGTCTTCGCGCGACTCAACAGCCGAATTACCGCAAGAGGGCAGTACCCGATGGAAGACAAATGGTGTCATCGGTACTTGCAACCCAATTTGGATCTCGGGCTTCTCAATAAACGCATGTGCAGACAACTTGGGTCGTTCGGGATTAGCCTATCGAGGTCCTGAATCTCTGCTCCGCTTCAATGTAACATGTTCAACACACAAATAAGACTACGCGCGTGACCTAAATTCTACGGCCAATTATGTCCATAAGAATGAAGTGCAGCTATATTGAAGAAATTATGTCGTTACTATTTGCCTACTCAACCTGGTGGGCCCTGAATGACATACTCTCATGATATTTTGGTTCTTAATCTCAGTCATGCGAAGTAACTCAGCTGACTGCTTGCTATGTAATATCTTCTACTTAATATAAACTTATTGTAGGCCTAAGTGCTGTTTACATATCGTAGATGATACTCTGTGATGCTTTCATTACCTAGTTGTCGTCACTGGCCAGCCTGATGCTACGTCTTTATGCCTCAGTTTGTTAAACCATATAACTATCCATTAATGGGCATTTGTCGTAATTAGATTAGTTGTTTGGTTTCTGGATGTTAGATAACGGATATAAAGAAAATCTGTGATCCAACCGGAGCTCTACGTAGCCGATAATATTGACTGAGAGTCTATCTTAGAGAATCGGGAGTAGGTTAGCTCTTGCATCGGCTGAATACGGCTTGACTACAAATGAAATATACAACCGAAGACGTAATATTGTCGCTAGATTGACTTATTAGGAAGAAGAGAGTGTGATTTTCTTTTATTCATTGATGCATGAACAATAAACCCTTGTGCTTTCTGTGTTAACTTGCCGGGCAGGGAATGCACGCATATAAGTCATGGTTCCGCCGTGGGCGAGGTTCTCTTATACTAGTTCTCTGCCTAATCTTGTCGAAGAACATCACTCTGAATTCTGACTCGACAATGGCAGACTTAGTCTTAGGAATTTCGGGTATATTTGGGAGATGTGCCACCATAATGCAAAAATATTGATCAAGGGAAGAGAACGGATCCAAAGCTTGTGAGAAGAAGCAACTTGTGTGAAAATTTGTCTGTTCTATTGCTGCTGCCTAATAATGTCTTATTGACAATGATATGCCTCAGCATGCACAAAATGACTCACATAATCTTTATAAATAGCTAGTTACTCTCATGGCATGTCGCGTGATGTGGTTCACAGCTCATCCACACACCCACAAATCTCGATGTTACCGCTGACGTGATGATGCAGGGATATTCGTTTCGAAGCCCTCTGGAAGAACAATTGCTGGATTTTTAGATTTCAAGTATTAGTCAAGAAGTATCCATGATATTGAGGATTGTGTGTGACAGTGAGGCTGCAAGTTCTGATGGTCAGCATAGGCCATCCATCAGAATCTATTCCTTCTTTATTCGCAAATATTCCATTGTGTCTGACCTCACCGCTCATAACTTTCATATTTAGCCGCTGTTTCCAGAAGGCAGCCAGGGGCTTGGCAACGTACCGTGCATAGAGCCGTGCATGATCCACCTGAGAATGAAGGCTTTCACTGTAGACGATCAAACTGCCCACTTGCGTCCGGGCCGCAGATTGAAGGCCGAGATGTGACAGGGCAGGGCTCATCCCCAGTGTTTCGCTTCACTTTGGCCAAGAATGGTTTCAAATGACTGGAAGCTCTCCTCTCACTCATCCCCGAGCATTGACTTTGCTCTTACTACCCCGAATATTCATGAGGGTGGTCAGCTTTCTATACGAAAAAGGCGGTGTGCCAAGAAAGCTTGTGATGTCAAGGGTTCACACTTGGACATCTCTCCAGTGATGCACTTCCCCAGCCCTCTCACTGAATCACTGGTCTGTTTGGCTGCTGATCATCGGTGTCGACGACTTCGGCAGCAACGGCTTCGGGTTCTACGGCTCAGCGGGTTCAACGGAAAATGCACCCGTATTCAGTCGACAATGCGCCTGAATGAAATGACAGATCTGATCGATTCACCGAAAGTCAAGCACCACCGATATTGCCTGCAGGGGAGTGGGGCCCCGGGTTGTCACCCATGGGCCAGGAAGTACGTACTGGGCGAAGTTTGCGATCTCTGCGACTTGTTCAGGGCTCACTGGATAAAACTGGGTTGAGTTTTGACTCCATCTGCACGTTTGTGTGTTGGTTACAGGTCATCATAGCGTCGAGCTGTTATGGGAAAGAGGTCTGGTGCTGTCAATATGCCCACTCCTAGCCAGGCCGGACCGCTCCCATGGGCTGGTCGTCTCCTGCGGAAAATCCCAGGCAGGTAAAAATAAAGCCATCCTCAGAATGCGCGTGTGCTTACCGTCACCCCAAAATGGTACAATGTAATGGTAAGCCACGTGGTGCTTTCCATTTTGGTTTGGGATCCTCGCGATGAGGCAGGCTCACTCACCCTTCTTATCTTACAACTTATTTATACAGTGAATTGCTGCTGCCTCAGTTCTTCCCCCCCATGATTAATAAAGGACCGTATTTCAATCGGTGGCGGAAGATTGAGGGTTCCCCCTTGTCACTTCCCAAATAAAATAATCAAACCCCCTGCCCATATTATAGCTGTGGACCGCATACAAGAAGGGGTAACCCAACGATTAAGGGTTGATAAGTTCAGATGACGTCTTTCCAATAAGAATACGGAATTGGACGCAGGGACGAGTCGCAAGTTCTTACGGCTAATAACACCAAGAATCTTTCTCGAATTTCTTTCCAACAACAACCAAGACACCTCGAGTCACACCA